CTAAAGGATAAGCATGACATGTGGCCAAATGTGTGAACTTGCTTGGCTATTCATGTGAGACCACATTTCCTGAAAATGCCCTCACAAAAAGTGTGTGTAAGACTGGAGACACACTGGTTGCATGGCGTAAGCGTCTCAGCTGCGTGGCGTGTCCATTTTTAAGTAGTCATATGGTAGGTGAACACATTCAATATTTCTTGTTTCTGTCATTCTCTTCTTTCTGACAACAACGTTCTTTCCAACAGCTGGTTTAAGGACTGTCACACAGCATCTGATTTTACAGCAATGAAATTTATTCACAACCATCATTCAATGCTGTGACACTCTTACAAAACTACAGAAAATGGCGTAGGTTGGAAAGCCATACTACAAGGGTACGAAGCAAAAACCCTTCAGGACACAGATGCCCCCATTAAGTCACACACACACACACAAACACACACCAACACAAGTATATATATATATATTTTTTTTTTAAATCCTCATTAACAGGCCCCAATAGTGTTGGAACAGTAATGATTTAGATCGTAATACTTTATAAGGTTACATTTCTTTATGTTTGCAAATGCATCATTTAACGCAAAGCAAAATGAACCACAATTTTTACAGCATTTTTCTAGGTTAATGTTAATTTACACAGCTTGAAATCTTAACACAATATATGTAATAAAATCACAATAACCAAGGTTAATAAATGTTTTAAATATTTTTCATTGTTAGTTCATGATACTACTTGCTCCATTAATTAATGTTAACACACTGAACTTCACTGAAAAAAAGTGGCTCTCAACATTTTTAATTCGAGGACCCCCATATTGGTAAGACATTTTCACGAGTATTTCTATATTAATGACCACGCTTGTTTTCAAACATCACTTATTTTCTCTGTGACTCATTTACATATCTGTTAGGTGTTGTTTGCAAGTCTCTGAGACTCTGACACCAGAAAATAGAGAAGAGTCGATCCTTTGTGGCATGCATGTTTGCCTATCTTCCTTTCAGGTTCTATCAGTGAGTGTATGCATTTGAGTTTTGTAATGTGACAGGTTGTTGCCATGGTGCATTAGCAAACACTCTGAAAGGTGTTGATGTAACGCATCTTTAATGCATAATGTTTATCCAAAGTGTTGTTGCCCAGAGATAAGACAGACTCCAATATTTGGGGGTTGGAGAAGCCTATTTGTGTGTATAGTTGTGTGGGTTTTATCTCAGAATACACCTACCAAATATTAACATACATGTACCACAGAGAAAGACATTCGGATGTGAGATTATCTGCCAAAATGTTTTTCGGAGACTCCTCTCTATACTTCGATCCTATTAGCAGTTGTCACGCTAAAATTAAACCCTGACCATCCGCAACAAAATAAATGACTCAGAGAGCTTGTCAAAGAGAGGGTTTGGGCTTGCATGCCCACATTTATGAAAATGCTATCATGTGGAAGAGGGTTTGTGTTGTGTGTATGTGTGTCGTATAAGTTTGTGTTTCTGTCTATGTGTGTGTCCCAAAAATTAAACAAATATGTGTGCATTGTGTAACAAGGTTAGTATGCATGTGTGTGAGCTCATGTGTAACATAATTGTGTGGGCTGACAGCAGAAAGAAGTAGGCGGTGAGAGAGAGAGAGCGCGATAGAGAAAAAGAAAGAGAGGGGGGATGGCTTCATCTAACATCATCTCTCACTTCTTCTACAGGATAGATGATCACAGGTAACATGTAGTGCATGTAGGTGTTTGCATGTGAAGAGGAGTGTGTGGATCACACGCCACCTCACATGCTGCAAAAAACAGACCAAACTGCATCTCGTTGTGAGTGGGCCTGTGCTGCCTTTCTAAACTACAGTGCATTCAGTTAGAGAACACAGAATGGATCTGTTAACTTCTTCTGATGCATGTGATCTGTGCCTTGCTATCAGTGGAACTGAACAATAGATCCCACGGTTCAGCTGGTTAACTCAGTCACATTTTGGGCAATTTTACTAGGGAGACGGTTAGCAATGGACAACCAATCGCGTACTTATTTGCGTGCTTTGTACGGTCACGGAAACACTGCACATTGTACATAAGCACAGTAAGTTCAGCGTTTGAGAGGAAAAAGTCAAACGCTGACAGAAAACACAACAATTTTAGTAAAGAAGAGACCGTTTCTATGCAGTCAATATAATGCCACATATGTTTGTCAAACATTATGACAGCTGTAAAAAAAAGCTTAGGAATATTTGCAGCACAATAAATGTCTTTACTGTCACTTTTGATCACTAGCTGAGTAAAATAATTTCTTTAAAAACAAATCTCACTAATCCCAAAACTTTTAATGCTACAAACGTAGGTCTCAACAACTTAATGAACAGTATTAAAGATAAATATATACAATTACACACACTACTGTGCATTTAAAACAGGTATTAAACAGTGTGATTTCACTTTCATTTGGGTTGGAATTTACAGAAAACTCCTTCTTGAAATGATAACTCCAATCACAACAAAAAACAACAGGCATCTTCTTCCCTATAAACAGAGCTCAAGGCCACAAAAACATTTAAAAAAGTACACATACGGTTTTATTAGCAGTGGAAAATACCCAACACCACCCGTGGAACTCTGTGAGGCTTTCTTCATGGAAAATTGTAGAGGGAGAGAGTATGTATAGCAACATGTCCCAGCTTGAAATATCTTGAATCAGTAAAAAAAACAAAACACACGTAACTTCTGAGGAATCCAGAGCTATGGGGAGAAATGGGAGCTGGCACAGTCAGGCAAAAGTCTTGAGGCCCTTTGAAACATATCTGAAATATCTACAAGGATGCAGAGTGACAGTAAATAATAGTTTTGCTAACTTCAGCGTTACTAATGGTAAGGATGATTTCATCTTTGTGAGCTGTGACACCATAAACAGCTCAAATGAGTTGCTGTTTAGTCACTTATTACCTTCCAAATTTCATAATGGACTGAAAGTATAATTTATTTCCTGCATTAAAGTACTTCAGAAGAGCTTCCAAGAATGCTAGGAATTTGCCATTTCCACGGTCTGCCCTTTCCTGTTTCCTATTTTAGCTGCTCTCCTGCCTCCGAGCTGAGGGGAGTGCAGAGGAATTCATGGGGAACGGAAGCAGACCTCCAGCTCAGCGAACATTCCCAACTGTCATCTTGACTTTTTTCCTCTGCCGTTCATGACTGCTGACCAAATCGTTCCAGTGAATGAACTGTTCTCCATACATTGACACGTTCAGTTTATTTTGAAGCACTCAATTCATTGCTTGGACCGAGTACTAGCCATTGGCTGCATCTGAAATCGCATACTCTCGAGTAGATAATGTTAAGTAGTTCAAGACTGCTAAAAGAGTATAACATGTTCTTCTATATAGTATGAATGCAATCTGGATATACTACTGTACATTCGCCATGTTCTCATTATCATGTGACCTACCAGCGTCAGTTGCATCACTTCACTGTCATTCACAAATCCTCTCCCGTGGCCTCATGGGATAGTACAGTGTCCATTATATTATGCACACATCAGAATCTCCCCGGAATGGGCATTCGGGTATACTTTTTGCCTCTTTTATGAGTACTGTAAATTTGGATATAGCCTACTACTTTAGTCACATACTGTTTTTCACCAACTATAGCCTAAAGAGATTTCAGATGCACCCACTGTGTTAATGAGACTCAAAGCGGCTCTTAAAGACAGCCGAACTGGCAATTAATCTGGTAAGGTCCTTATTGAAACTCTATATTTATTTAGACTATTATTGTGGTCTTTTTCTATGACCAGATAAAAATCATGCTTAGTAGTAAATAAATAAAGATACTTTTTTGAAATTGTCATTTGAGGGGAAACGCTGTGATGACGCTTAAAGTCGCAATGAAATGTGATAGATCTTTTCTTCCATATTGTGATATTGATATTGATTGTAAAATGTGTGTTGCATTTAAAAATGGAGGATTTGATTGGATCATTGAATCATTGTCATTTACTATTGCTGGGATCTCACGCTAGTAAACACGTCAACGGAGAATTGGGGAGGCCCATGAATAATACAAACAATAATGATGTGCACAGAGAAATATATTTTACAAAATACTGCAATACTCAATAAAAATAAATACATTTTGATTTCGTGGTGACTTTAACAAATTGGTTAAGTGAAAGATTCACCACACAAAAAAAACAAAGTGATGTACCGTACAGAAATACCTGAGTGGATCATTTTGCTTAAGAGATTCAAAAGATTCGACTCAATGAGATCCCTACTTCAGACGCCTCGCAAAGATGCATAAGTAAGTAGACATCATCATAACAAGCAGAACACATAAAAGTAGCCTATCAAATCAAAGCATTCTTTATTTTTTAATTCAGGACATGCTTATAGGAAGCTCAAGTCTCTCGAGTCGAGTGTGTCCTCAATGACAACTTCAATAGGTTGAAAGTTGATTATTTACCCTATACAATTGTAAACAAAAGAGCCTAATCCCTTGATCCAATGACCATCAGTCTTCAGAGTTCTTACAAAACATAACCCACAAATGCATTCATTTTGGTATTGGTGGCTACTTTTCCCCAAACATGGAAATTTAGTCATGGGGATTCCCATAAGTGGAAGCTGGCCATAGTAGGAAATATAGTCAGTCCCGCGCGACAATAACAACATCCTCTCTACTTTCATCCCACACATCCTCAAAGCTATTTTCTGAGCGTTTGTAATGCATCTGCATAACTGAAGACGTGTCCCGCATCTTATCCCAGCCCAGGACTGTCCTGTCCGCAACAACATAGGCATCTGCATGATGATGGACCGTTTCATCTGCTTTGTGTTTGGTAATATATGTATAATTCAAGTTTCTAACAGCCAACAACACATGTGTCAAAATCCGACAAGACATTCTGAGCAACATTCCTGTTTGAAACTAACGTTATATTTTCTAGGCTAGAGCAACTGACTGAGCAGGCGCGCGCGCGCACAACGCGATAAACACAAATAAAGCATCACTTCACTTTACCTGCTTCAACCGTATCCGTTAGGTCATAATTTGTTGCTGTCCGAGGGAATTCTTTCAGTTTTCTTGAGCTGAGGTTCATAAATCCAGAGTTCGCCGCATCCTCCAGAGCTCTCTCCAAGCCTCGGCTGAGAGGCAGGTTCGTGTTGGAGCCCTGTCCGCTCAGGTTCGTCTGTAATGCGGCAGAAGTCAGGTGCGAATGAGGACGGGGCTCCGATCCCAGCGTCGCCATAATCGCCCCGTCGGGAAAAAAAAAAAAGCTCGTCGAAAGGCTCTGCGATCGCTATATCCTAAAGAAAATGTCATGCGGTGGGTGAATTTCCTCCTAGTGCGTTATCTGCCTGCCCAAAACGCGTCTGCGCAGTTTGTTTATGAAACTGAGCTCGTGCCAATAACGTGTTTACTGGCCATGACTATAGCGCCATCTGCTGTACGTTCACAAATAGCATGCAATTGCAGATGAGAAAAACACTCTTAAAAATACGTCTGTAATGTAAATAGCCAGCGCAGTCTCATATCCCAAGACGTCACCATTTTACAAGATGTAAACAACACTGGTCCAGAAGCACTTCCTGTTTCCGTTAACACTACATAAAAGCTGGGATAAAATACAACCAACAGAACATTTAAAACTGAATCAAAAAGTTAAACAAACATCTTTACAATGTTTTCTTTACATGTGAAATAAAGAAAACAGTTGACAAAAAACAGAAAACAAAAATGGTCTATAACTAACGTCTTGGGACGTCTTGTGACCATAGCCTACGTCAACAGCCGCCTTTTTAGGGTAACCTTAAAGGAATAGTTCGCTTTGAAATTAATTTTTGATAGGTTTTAGCTTACCTCAAGGGCATCCAAGATGTAGGTGTCTTTGTTTCCACAGTATTTTCAATTTTGACATTTTTCAGTCAAACCGTTGTTGTCTATCAGTCATAAACTGGAGGCTAAGGGGGGTTCCACCAAAAAGCATGCACAGAGAAGTCAAAATTAAACATGATTTAATGACTCATAAATGTAAGTACATATTGATGGCCTAAGACACGAAACGAGCGGTTTTTGTCAGAAAACGAACAGTATTATATTGTTTTTACCTTGTGTAATCACAGTGACGTCCAAGTGATCTGAATCAGTTGTGCAATGTCCAACTGAACCGAACTGAATCAGTTCAATGTTATGCCGGAAGTGATCGCTTGCGTGTGACGTCACTCAATATTTACACGGAGATTTCTGAAGTTTTACCTTTTACTAAACATATTTAGATATACCGAAATCGTCTTCCATTGCGGTTTCCCGCATATCTAAATATGTGTAGTGAAAGGTAAAACTTCCAAAATCTCTGTATAAACAAAGAATGACGTAGGTGCGCAAGCGATCACTGACCTATGTCACGTTTGAGTTCACGTCAACGCAAGACTAGCAACACATGAAATGTTCTGCTAAGGTTTTGACTAATTGTTATAGCAGCACACAGCGCATCTTGTTCAAATTCTGATCGGCTCGAACAGAAACCCGCTAGACATACTGAAAAATATTCAAGCACTTCAAGAAATATAATTACTTTGACCCGTGATAGGCGATGCTAAACGGCTAACATTGCCAATGCCGACCGGCAGCATGAGCAAGTTGTCAAACTGAGAAAAAGCTATTTATGTAACACACACCACAACATAAAAGTACAAATAAATGTTTACCTGCTAAACAAAAAGTCAGCCGTGTCAGCATCGGTTTTCAGTCCCAGATCTCGCTGAAGCTTCCTCCAACGGTTAATGGTGTCCCCTATTTTTTTTTCCTACTTAGAGTCCGGTGTTACATTTTTTTTATCTCTGCAGACAGACAGACGAGCGAGCCAGACAGACAGACGAGTGAGCCAGACAGACGAGCAAGCCAGACAGACGAGCGAGCCAGACAGACAGACGAGCCAGACAGACGAGCGAGACAGACCAGACAGACGAGCGAGCCAGACAGACGAGCGAAACAGACCAGAGAGCCAGACAGACGAGCGACACAGACCAGCCAGCCGTGCTGCTGTGTGGAGGAGGCGGGTCAGGTGCGGTTGGAGATGCGAGCGCCAGGCGAAGTTTCAAGTGGAGCTGGTGATTGGATAAGAGCAGTTGAGCAGCTGTCCAGCCAGACAGGTTCCATTGGTCAAGTTCCAATAGACTGAATGAATTTTTTTCATTCTTTTTTTTTTCTATTCATATTGTTAGGATTGTACTAAATTATATAACCATAACCAGCATATAAATAAGGATATTAATAATGAACAATCTTTGAAATTGTATACCCTAGCTTTAATATATATATTAAATATATTGGATATATACATTTCATATATATCATATTGGATATATACATATATATACATTTAAAATATTTTTTATAATATTAATATACAAAAAATATGCATTTATTTTATTATATACATTCATTTTTTAAAATAATATAAATATTGTAATTCATTTTATCTACACCAAGATAAAATAGTTTTTGGACAACATTTTGACCCATTCCTATTTAAGCTCCAATTGGACACATTGTTGTAGGGGTAACAGGTTTCAGTTGCTTACAGCGAATTGACATTTTGCTGCAAGGAAAATACCACTGGAAACAAATAAAGCGTCAGCAGAGGCAACAGTAAAGCGGATTCCCCGAAAGAAACAAACGCCTGTGTTGTGATATGGATAGCCGTGCTGTTTGGCTGGTGAGGAACATTAAAGACTGCTTCCTCTGTGCAGTAACCGAATGTCAGCTGCGCTTTGTCTCCTTGTTTGTCATCACTGTCTCACACCCTGCACTGGGGGAAACAAAGATCATCGTGATTCAGACTTCAGGCTTTTTTCCACAAATAAAGAATGTGAGATTATTGCTAACTTTGCCTAAAGTCAGCATTAATGAAAGCGATCTGTTCCAGAAACATTTTTTGTTATGCTGTCTCCTATTAGCAAACACTAATTTAAAGTGATTTCACCAAAAAATTCTGTTATTTACTCAACCTCAAGTTGTTCCGAACCTGTATGAATTTATTTGTTGTGTTGAACACAAAAGAAGATATTTTGAAAAATATAGTTACCCATTGGACCCCATTGTCCCCATTGTCAATGGGGTTAATCAACTATTTGGTTTCCGACAGTCTTCAACCCTTTAACCCTTCGGAGTCTTGGGCTATTTTGGCCCTTTTTGAGTACTTTTTTAATTTTTTTAATTTTGCGACATAAACAAATGTTTATCATACCAATTTTTGGTATATTTTCAGCACAACATCACCACCTATGTGACCAGACAATTAGTTAATCACTTGATGTACTGTATCAACATACTGGACCCAAAATCATACAAAAAACACAAAATCCAAATAGAAATAATAGCTTTTGTACTACGAAAAACACAAACATGCTCAATGCAGCATTTTAAAAGGTTTAAAATGTAAACACAAGTTGTAAATGTCAAAATATACAGGTAAAATTCAGATATAATCAAGCTATATACAAAAAAATGATATACAAAATTTAAAATGATTTACAAAAAGAAAAGCGAGTGTAGCCATATAGGCTTTTTTTTTTTTTTCATTTTAGCTTTGCCACTTTAAAAAAAAAATGTGCACACAAATATACAGAGAGCTATATTTAAGGCCTTGCATACCCAGAGTATGAGGGTTCACAAATAGTGCAAATACAACATAAAAAATATAAAATTGAGTTAAAATGAAACTACATACAGCTAAAAGCAGGTGTGCAATAGGCGTTTTTTTCTTTTACTTATTTGCTTAGAAACAACACTTCATGTACAATTACACAGCTTTCATTCCTTGAGTAAGATGGGTTCCTCAATAGTGCAAATATACCACACAAAAGGTCAAATGAACACAAATTTAAAACCGTACATTCAACTATTTACAAATCAGGTGTGTTTATTTGTTGTTTTTTTTATCTGTGCCACTCCTCAAAACAGTTTATCTAATCTGATCCTAAAGTACTCCTAAAAGATCTACACTACTCCTAAACTACCTAAACTAGCGTTACTCCTATCTACACCACTCCTAAACACTCTCAAAATCTACTCAAACAAGCAATGATTTCTCTCTCTCTATATATATAAAACGTATGTCTCTCTTTGTCTACTCCGTAAATCTCCTGCCTTTCACCAAAGAGTATAGAAGAACAAGAGGCGAAACTCTGATGCTTTTTTGGTAACAGCCACTATGGCGCTTCGGTTGCGCGGCAGCCATTTCGGGGTGAAAATTCCAACTGGAGTTACTGGACAACAGCACAGATAACAGTTTTTGAGGTAGTTTTTTCTTGCATTAGTGAGTATTTCCATTGTATGCAACTTCACAATTTTACTACTATTATTATAGTTACCAACTCCACTAGGCCTGAAATATATTTTGGACGTTTTAATCCCCTGGATCATGCTACAAACATGATGATCATTGATGTGTTGTGTCCGTTATCCCAACTAATTGCAACTTTGGACATTGGCTGTGTTTTTTTGTTTGTTTACATCTTGCGTCATTAATATAAGATAGGCTAGTACTGCAAAAAAAAAAAAAAAAAAAAACATCCCATCTTGCGCTCTTTTACAAACGCGTCAATATACGCGTAAATTTTTTATATAAAGTTTAAATGATCATATCTCCGTTTTTACTTGGTCTATCAACACAAAACAAAATTTAAAATAGAATTTCAAGTCAGCTCTTTCGACAAGTGGACGGAAGCGCTCTACGTGACTTTGTTTTTATGCTTCGACGTCTTAAACTTTTATAAGGCCTGCAAATTCTGCCTGAAACGCCTAAAAAAGACCTATCCAAATTAAATTGCATGCTGTTCTTGAACCCTTGGGAGTATTTGAATACTTTTGGTCTCTTTTGAAAGGGGCTACTTTGAGGTTTGTTCCTAAACAGTTACAATCACAGTAAGTCTTAGTTTTTTTGAGTAATAGAACTTTGAAAACACTAAAAAAGGGTGAAAAAATTTCCGCCTACATTTTTTTGTCTGCAGATAATTATAGCTGTGAGGTATTACCTGGAAAACACAGTGTGATCACAGCATGAAGCCTTACCAAGCCCAATTTAAAATTTTATAACAATAGATTAGAAAATGAGTGTTTTACACGTTTATCTAAGTGTATGTCTAAGCGTTTCCAAAAAAAAAAAGGCCACTTGGAGACTCCAAATGACCCTTTGTTACCACAGACACATAACATGCTGCTATTCATAAAAGCTTAACTCTACAGTCATAATTTTGGGCTCTAATGAAACGTTACACTTAGAGATATTATAATCCTTCCAGATTCACTGTCAATAATTGATAACACATAGTAAGGGAAGCATAAAAACAATATAGTGGGTTTTTTTTCAATTCTTGAA